ATGACTACGCCTAGGTCAATTGCCGACATTACTGCCCCATGGAGATAATCGGACCCAAGAGTGGCAGCGGAAGTGGGGAGGTTTTTAGTGGAGTTTCATGAGTTTCAAGCCAAGTCGAGGGGATCGGATATGAGAAGAAAAGGAAATGCCCTAAGCAACAAAGACATCAAGAAGATCAACCCGAGCAGTTTTATTGAGACATATGTGACTAAATATTTTTTCTTCTTCGTTTGCAAAAGATACATTCTTAGGATTTGGATTCATAACTGAAGTTGAATTGAAATTTGTGTGGTCTAGTTTTCTTAATACCCATATAAAGGTGGAAACACCGAATTAATCAATTTTTGGAACTACAGTAATCAATTTGTTGATTCTACTTTCATTTTGTTTGATTGTCATACGTCTTAATATTTGATTTGATCCTATTTTTATTTCATTTATTCTTATAAAGTTCATATATTGTAACATCATTCAAACCGAAATCAATTTGATTTTATTTCTTCAATTCATCATACTTGGTTTACCGATGTTGGTTGCTCGATTGGTTCTTATCATGAATTCTTGATTTATTTTATTGATAAAGAACAAGATGAATTTTTGATTGAATAATGTTGATTTGATCTAAAAAGATTTTAACTTGAAAATTTTGATGCTTGTTGAAGAATTGGAAAAGGATTAATTCCAAATTGGATATTATTGTTTTGATATGTTTAGTGATTACAAATGGGTCAGCGAGATCGAAACGATATGAAAGTCATTTTTCGTATTGTTGATAGTTAATTCAATTGAAAGTCAAACAATATTTAGCAAAATTTATGTTCCTTTAATTATGATACTAAAGTAGATGGTGAAATTCATATGGATTTGGAATCAAATATCCTAAATGATGAGGATTTAAAGTAAGGGTGGCAAATCGTGATATTGTTTCATGTTGACACGACATGATACGACAATGTTTTATGTAACACGAACACGACACGACACAAAGTTGTGTTTTTTTCTAACTAACACGAAAACGAACGAATTAGAAAAACGATAAACACGACATGACACGACACGAAAAATATAACATATACTAAAAACTAGTTTATTTAATGAATACTTTATCAAGTATAACATGACAAACATGAAAAACAAGATAAAGAACTACTAAATCATGTCAATTTCGTGTCGAATTTTGAACACGAACACGAATTCAAATTTCAGTTTCGTCCCAATTTCGTTTCGTTTCATGTATTTTTGTCGTGTCATGTTGTCACACCCCAAAACCAAGAACGGCGGAATCGTTCTGGGGCGGAGGACGTCATGTACAGTATCACAAAAATGAAAACTAGTAAACAAGCAACAACATCATCCATTGCATTAATAATATAATTTTAATACAAGTGTTCTGACAAATTATGATAGATACCAAAGTATAATCAAAATGAAAGATGAGTCTTGAACGAGCTCCATCTTCTCTAAACCTTGCGTCGGTACCTGTCTATTGATGACCTGAGGATACAAGTAATTTTGAAAGCGAGTATCAACTTTAAAGCTGGTGAGATCATAAGTATTTTAGTGTCTTAATTTGTATGTAAGTATTTGTATGTCTACGAATTGTAAGAATTGAAAATGTATATGAACTGTAAGTATAAAAATGTTTTGTAAAACAACTGTAAATGTTTGAAAAACCCTAGAAATCCCTATGATTCCTACTAGTATATAAGGGTGTATTCTACCAAGACCTAACTGCTCTGAATGTAGCCTTCTACCAAGACTTAACTGTTCTAAATGTCCGTTTCTTGTAAAAGTGTGTAATTTTCCCAAGTGTAACTATCATTAACAAAAATATAGTTTTTACATTTAATGTTTAAGTGAAAAGATCACTAAATATATGTAAAGGGGAAATTAATGTAGTATTGTAGCGTAGTGCTATAGGAACTACTGCTGTACTAACTACCTTAAACCGGATTTATATTAAGGCATCATGTGATTAATTGTACCATACTATTGACTGGGTAACAACGATAAATGTAGGTCGTAAAAAGGTATGACGATTGGCACCTGCAGACCTTAGGTCCAGCTGTAGCTAGCAGCAAGGTGTAGGATACTCAATCCAGTATAGATCTATATGCAAACTCACGCTCTCCCTCCAAGAGACTCTGGCTACAACTTGGGCCATGACATTGAAGGCATGCTCCGATACAGTGGATCATAATTATGTCAACGTATTCATGTATATGTAATGTACTGAAATGTTTTACGTGTGCTAGCTGTAATGTGTGTTCTCTCTCTATCTAGCAAGAATAGTAATGTACTATAATGTTCTAGCTGTAATGTATGTTCTCTCTATCTAGCACGTATTTACTCGTGAATGAATTGACTCATTGTATGTTATCGCGTTCTAGTAATAGTTCTAGTATCTTCCTAAACTACCCATATGGTAGTTTACTAATAATCTAACTGGTACATATGGAAATGGATGTATACCCTTGCTACCCAAGGGCATTGGATGAACTGGAAGGACCTTTATGACTATATATGTACATATGATATATAACTAATATTTAAACAACCTTCGGACGGATACCCGATGTCCCACCAGACCACATCTCAAGCACGAAAAGGAAATAGGGTGGATAGCCTTCCTAAGTCTTTTAAACATTTCTTATATAACTATACATATATAGGCATGCAATTTATAATATAAAATCATAAAATAAGTTTTGTAAAACCTTTGAACATAATTAATATCTAAGAAAAGATCGACTTGATGTCAATCTATAAAACGGGTTGGAAACATGGGTTTGATAAAACAGTTTAAGTATAAGGAAACATTTGTTTGAAACATAATTGTAAATGAGTTTGAAATGAAACATACAGAGTAAAATGTATAGTTTAATAAGGAGTTTTAAACATATAAAGTGTTTATGAAAAACACTTGAAGGAAACTGTTTGGTAAAACGGCTAATGAGTAGCCAATCATTTGAATGCTACTTACTAATCACATGTGATTGATATAGTAACTAACATGATTCTACTTGTATCCCCCCACAAAACATTTAAAAATAGTTAAAATGTTGATTAAGGGGTATGAACTCACCTGTTGTGAGTGGCACAGATAAACTGAAGAGGTAGGACTGCTAGGTGTCAAGTGAAGACTTTAGACACACACAATGGTCCTAATTACATATGAAGACATATGTATATAAACAATTAGTGATTATAACACTAATTAAACATGTATAAACATCCTAATGCAAGGAAAACACTTTGGTCAAGCGCTAGGAGGCTATTAGGTTGCAACAAAGTAGCGCAAGACCTCATACGGAATTTTATGGTACAAAGACCATGTGTGTTGGAGTTTACAGCCCAGGGGAGTAAACTCCTGGCCGTAAAATCTCTATTGAGTCACTAAATGAAGCTTAAAGATATTACAACTTAAGTGGTGAAGTGCTTCAAGACTTACTAGAGTGTTAGGGCTTCCTTTTAACTCATTTGAGGAGTTCACGGCCTTGGGACCATATCCCTTGGAGATTACGGCCGTAATCTCCCTTGGGAGGGTGTTTGTGGTGTTTTCAAGTCCCTAATATATCTAAGAATAAATCAAGGAAATTGTCCAAGGCTTTAGGAGTGATTAAAGCACCTTTTGGCCCTATTGTTTGGAGTTTTTGAGGAGTTCACGACCCTGAAGAGTTTACTGTCGTAAACTCATAGCCATTTATGTTTATGAGGGTCTTAAGGTCATAAGGAAGTATTCTAAATTCAAGCCTAAGCCTTAGGAAGTGTTTGTGGCATCAAAACACCCCTAACTTGAGTTTTCAGCCCATGTACCATTTAGTCATGTGTTTGCGGCCATGAACACCTATGGGTGTTGGTATTTTGATTGTTTTGGGTCCTAGACACATCAGGGTAATGTGCTATGCTAGTCTCTTGGCTCAATGAAGGCATTTAGGGCATTTTGGCACCTAAAAATGGAGTTCACGGCCCAAGAACTTCCTTGGCCGTGAACTCACTTTCAACCCTTGATTCTTAATGTTTTGGATGTCTAAACCAGTTATGGGTAGTCTCAAAGTTCATTTCCAAGGTTTGGAGGGACATTGGGCACACTTTGGCCCTTATAAAAGAGTTTACTCTCCAAGTGTTCTTGGGCGGTAAACTCTCAAATCTTGGGGTTTTGATCCGATTTTGATGTTATTAGGCACAATCTAAGCTATATATTACAACTAGATAGAAGTACTCACGATTTGGGATGAAAACCCGAAGATCCATGAGAGAGAAAATGGCTTTTCTCTAGTTGGAAATGTGACTAATGAATAAATATGGCTCATATTTCTATATATATAGTCCTGGGATTTTTGGCAGAAAATATTTTATTCCCGTAATGAACTCTAATATCACAGAGTTTTGGAATAACCGTGTTGCACAAAACCCTAGTGCATCCACTCTCCTGATATCTCCTTAAGTGTAAATCTTGAAAAACTGTCAAACTTATACCCAAGAGTCTGGAACTTAACTGTAACTATTCTATCTTCTATTGACTTGATATGGTTTGTACAGAATGTAAATTTCGAGTTGTCACACATGTCATAAATTGCCACCCCTAATTTAAAGTACTAGGCATTTTGTTGTGGTTCCAATTTACTCAAGAAATTAAATGATGTTGTTAGGAACTTGCTGAAATCAATGAATTGAAAAAAAAAAAGTCAATGATGGAAGTCAAATTGTACGAATTCGAGTATATGTGTTTGTTGTAGACCACGAGAGCTTGGACGACACTTTCTTTTTTGAGTATCTAAATTTATACTTCTGTATTCATGGAGCGTAATGAATCTAGTTATTCCAATCTTCATAACCAACACTAATTATTAAACTTGTGTGTTAGGAAGGGGTTTATCGGGTAACCCCTTCACAATTATCAAAGAGATCTTTTAAACAATAAAAACATAATTTGTATCCTTAGAATGCAGAAAAAACATGAGGGACTTATTAAACCAAAATATATAAATTGGTTGGGATACATTGACAATAAGCATACAATCAAAGATGCATATTTTTTGGGGGTTTGAATCACTTATTCTTAAGTCATAAGAAGACAACGATGGTTTTATAACATGACTTTCATACTGGCTTAAAACCATGTTTTAAAGCAGCTTCCCAAGCCAAATCAATATGGTCTACGTCAATCTCACCAACTTCATTGTGTTCCCAACCTTCAAGAAGATGAACAATCCCACCCGCATGACAAGCATGAACCACACCTCTTTCTAATGTGTACTGCTCAAACAATATGTATAAAACAAAAAATAAATGTCAATTTAAACTCCAAAACCCTCTAAATAAGCAATCATCAATTGATCAAAGAGAAGTTATCAGATGTGATAAGGCTAGATTTGTCTTTTTTACATTACCTCGCATATGCCTAGTCCCTGGACACCATCAGGAAGCTTCATAGCTGCAAGCTTACTATACTTGCAATCTCTTCGGAATTCACTTATAGGTGGAACCACAAACTGATGGAAATGTGTTCCTGGTGGTGCCCAATTTTGCTCAATTGGAGTGATCCATTTTCCCATAATCCAAGTCTAGTTAGTTTCACCAAAACATTACATTAGTAAATTACCTTTAATTAACACTTGACTACAAATTAACAAATATATATATATATATATATATATATATATATATATATATATATATATATATCTTACCTTGCACTGTTTAGCTGCTTGATAAGTTGTCACTTGAATCAAAAGGTTTTGATTAGCTAATGGAATTTCATTCTTAATGCTTATAAATCTTTCAGTGGATTGAGTAAGCATCTGCGCAAATATTTAGTTTCCTAAATCAATATCCAAGCAGACGAAATGAAAGAAATAAACAATAAGTTAAAGATCAACTTTCACAAAAAAAAAAAAAAAAAAAAAAAAAAAGAAGTTACCAAGACTCTAACTTTACGACGAGCTAAGTAAATTGCAATGGCCCTTCCAAGCTTAGAAGTAGATGCTGTTAAGAACACTTCCTCAACATCTTGAGGAATTTCATTCAGAATAACAGCAGCAGTCAATGTGTTTCCATGAACTACTCGGACTTTAAGATCCGGATGTTTCATGACAAAAAGTTTCCCACCTCCATTCAACGCTTCATTCTGTCAATAAACAACAACAAATTCACTCAAAACTCTTCTTTTATTCTTCCGTTAACAAGGACAAATATATAAAAAGTTTAGGACTTGAAGAAACCCTTGTTTACAATATAAATATTTGACCTCTTCCATCAAATAAAAATTAAATAAAACCCTAGTTTTTAATATAAATAGTATAAAATGAGAAACTGAGAACACCAATTTATGTTATTAATCTACTTAGAATTTAGTATTTTACTAATAATATTATGAATATATATATATATATATATATATATATATATATATATATATATATATATATATATATATATATATATATATATATATAGTTGGATTAAGGTGTCTAAGCCGGTAATTTAATTGATATATTTTTGCAATTAGAAATAAAGTCATTCTTTTGTTGCGCGATCAAAACTAGAACTTAGATAGAATGACAATTATAAAAAAATGATAATTTATTAGATTATTATATGATTAAAAAACTAATTGGAAATTGTAAGTAAATGATTTCTTAATATATTATACGATTAATATATAGATTGAAAATAGATAGTTGATTTATTAAATTATTATGGGATTAATAAACTAATATAAGATCAATTGTTAAAATAATTGATTTGTTAATTTATATGGTTAATAAATTAATATGACATCAATTAGAATTATTTAATTATTAATCAAAATTAATTTGAAATTAATTGATTAACTGGAACTAATTAATATGCAAGGGTTGAATTATAATTATTCAATAGTTAAATAAAAAGGCAATTCTAGAACCATCCTAGGGTAGACAGTTTTGAGAGCCTTTCTAAGGTTTCTAGAAGCCTCTTGGATATTAATAAGAAAATGATTTAAATTGGAATTAAATTCATTATTTAATTATTCAAATCTTACTTTGTGCCTAAGTTACCTAAACTATAAATAAGACTCATTGAACACTCAAATTCGTTGATACACTTACCTTAGAGGTGACAAATGAAATTTATACATCTTTCCTATCTCCTTAAGTGTCTTTTAGTTCTAGGGTTTGAGTATGAGCCTTTAGAAGCATAATCCTTTTGGTGCTAACTTTCCAAGCACTTCAAAGGAAGGATTGAAGTAACTTGTTTGTTACAACAATTTTGAGGTATGTAAACCCTTAATCTTAATTTATAGACTTCATAATTGCTAGAGTTGATGCTAGTTTTGTAATTCAAAGTATCTTGCCTTCAAAGTGAAAGACATAGATCCTTTTAAGTTGCATGTGCCCTTCTTAATTGTTAAGTGTTTTTTGGCATTATTCATATTGTTATAACCTAATAAACCCATATATATATATATATATATATATATATATATATATATATATTCATTTTTATGTTATTATCCTACTATAAATTTTTATATGTATTGTACTTTAGTTGATTTTAGTGTGGATATTAAAGTGGGGTTATTCATATTTTCCTTGATGAATAATGACATAAAGTTGCATATACAAAATTCATAGTAGAACTATAACATAAAACTAGTGTTCTCATGTTATCACTTTATTTACTGTTCTAATTTGAATCATCCTTGATATATATATATATATATATATATATATATATATATATATATATATATATATATATATATATATATATATATATATATAATATCTTAGATCTGACAAATATGTTCCACAAAATACCAATCAAATGAAATATATTGGTAACCAATATATTTTGTAGTTAACATCTTTGGTTGGTAGTACCATACCAATTGGGTTAATGTCACTGTTGGGTAACAAACTTTTATGAATTGGTTCAAATGGCCCCTTAGGTTTTTTCTTGCGTTTTAGGGGCACAAAGTGCATTTTGTCAGGTTTAAAAAGTCATTTTTTGTCGGGTAACCCAGTAACTCAAATGATGTGGTAGTTTAATTGGCAATATGGTCAACATATTGTTTATGTGGCAGTATGGTCAACACTCATTTGACTTTTCAAGACTTCACAAACCCTCATCCTATCATCATCTTCAAGAGTTCACTATGCTTCTTCTTCAGCAAATCCCAAACCCAAATCTTCATGTGCTTGTACTGGTCTTGCTTTGATATAGTTTTGGGTATTGGATTAAGCAATAAACATATCCATCTTGCTTATTGTGGAATCTAGTAATGGATTTTGAGTTCGATTTATGCATGAATTCATCGATTCTTATTTTCCGATATTATTTTAAGCTTTCAATATCTTCAACTTCTAAATCTTTTTTTTTTTGAATTAGAACTCGGTGCAATAAATATCTTCAACTTCTTCGTCTTACTTTGAATTGGAGGTTAGAGATCTATTTTATCATCTTCGAAAAGGGGTGGTGGTGTGGTGCAATAGTGGAGTGGTGGTTATGAAGATCTATTTTGAAATCGAACCCATATGCAATTGGAGGTGGTGTGGTGCAATAGTGGAGTGGTGGTTATGAAAGGCATTCTAAAGGGGTGATGGTGTGGTGTAATAGTGGAGTGGTGGTTATGAAAGGGCATTCTAAAGGGGCTTCAAAGATGATGATGAGAGGCCACGTCAATAGCTAGTTTTTAAGGGGATTTGGAGATGATGACTCAAAAAAATGTTATTGAAGCGCACGCATACGTGGTGGTATATACCATTATCAACAACCAAAATTATTGCTTGTCAAACAAGTTGCTACCAATTATACTTGGTATAATGGTTGTATAAAAAATTTGTAAAAACTATAATTGATAGGGTACACGGTTTTAAATCAAAAGTAACTGAAATAGTACCAATCCCACCACTAAGATATCTATTATATTCCTCTCAAAACGTGTATTGTTCTAATAGTTTGATAGAAAGTATCGAACATGCTTCCTTAATTCTAGTGCTATTATAAAAAACAGACATTCAACTCACCTTGTTCAAGGCAGCAAGGCTAAGGACCTTGACACCAATTCTATCGGCCTTCAGTATAGCTTCTTCGATTTGGCTATTTATGCCATCTTTTGCAGACGGTATAAAATACTGAAATAAAAAACCACTATATAACAAAACACACACACTCACACACTCACACACACACACACACACACACATATATATATATATATATATATATATATATATATATATATATATATATATATATATATATATATAGACCTTAAAAACATTTTTAAAGTTTTTTTTCTTTTATTTAAACACTTTTGTATATATATTTAATACTGCATATAAGTTCATTTAAATGAAAAAGAACTTTAACGGTATTCTTTAAAGTATCAAAATATATTGAGACAATGAATAAATACATTTTAATATATATATATATATATATATATATATATATATATATATATATATATATATATATATATATATATATATATAAGGTTTTTGTTTGTAGAAAAGTCTGAATATTTTGATTTAGTTTATAAAATAGTTATAAATTAATTTGTTATCGGTTATCCATAGAAAAAAGTCATAATGCAATATTTTGCTGGTTTTCAGGATTTTTTTTTTTTAAAATAACTTTAATTTTGTATTAAAAAGTTAACCACTAAAAAATTTGATGGAAGATTCCCATCCGGTTTTAGTTTATACTCTTTGAAAAGAAGATGCATAGTACCATGAACCCAAATCGTGGCACGACCCAATAATGAAACAACCGTCCTCTAAGATACCAGAAAGTGAACAAGAAAGTTTTAGATTTAGCCCACATCATCAGCATCACCAAGAAAGCTAACGGCCAATTTAGATAGAAGATAATATTTCTGGCAAATGGTAAAGAGCTGCACGATCTCAAAAAAAATGGAGCATGAATTATTGACATGATATCAACCATATGTGCAAGAAACACAAATTCTGGTGCTTTTTCTTTCGTTCCTACAAGAGCAAGAGAAACATGGTTCAGTTAGGAAATTAATGAATTCTTTTATATTGGTCCGAATGGATCTTGACCCGACCCTGTATTTGAGAGCACTATCCAAGATAGACATTCAACCAGCCAATAGAACCTTTGTTCAATAGAACCTTTGTGCCATATAAGCCAATAGAACCTTTGTTCAATAGGTTTGACTGTTTGACTTTTGAGGAAAAATGATAAATTTTCAAGATTTTTAAGTAATTGGTGATGTGGCTCGTTTATGCCATGACCCATGAGTGAGGAAAAAATGTTTTTTTTGGGGGTTAATGACAACAAATAGGAGGGTAATATATATATATATATATATATATATATATATATATATATATATATATATATATATATATATATATATATATATATATATATATATATTTGAAATCGAACGAAAAATTATTCAAAGTACAGAAAAGTACAAAATAAAAAATATCATATTTTTTAGTAACACCCTCTCATGTAAACATATTATTTTTAATTTATTTCTAATGAATTTAATTTCTAATGTGTATATGTATTTGATTTTAATAAAATAAAATTTGTTTTCATATTTTTGCAAATTATTTATATTTTCGCATGAACCTACTTGTGTGTGTGTATATATATATATATATATATATATATATATATATATATATATATATATATATATATATATATTTGTTTGTGCTTGTTAGTTTTTTCGACGTTTTTGACATGCGTTTATTTTAGACGGTGACTTTTAGGTCCAGTGGTATTGTTGGTTTGGAAAAAGTTTGGTGACTAATCATTTTTGTGACTAATCAAGTCATGGCTTCCTTTTTTATGAAACATATAGACTATGTGAAATTATTTTTGGAAATAGAACTCCCTAACAAGGGTTTCGGGGCCATGTTTCACTTACCGACTAATCCCCGGTGTTAAAATATTATTTGCCTCACAGTCACTACAACTTCCTAGGGCATATATAGGGGTTTATTTAATGTTAGGATTTGAACAAATGTTAATAAGTTACCCATCCAAGTCCCAACAACTCTTTAAAAGGATTAAAAGAATGGTATGTACCTTCATTTGAACTTATTTCTCTATGAAGATCCCATGAAATTTCGTTCATTGTCTTTCCAAAAACATCAAAAAGAGGCATAAAAAGGCAAAAATTCGTCTTCATGTCTTTGTGATGTAGAAAATGGTACCTAAATACAGCCATAAATACAAATAAACCATAATCATGCGTAAGTTCTTAAGACTTTCCTGATTCCAGAGTTCAAAATCTAACAGAACATAGCACAACGAAAACATAATGCATGGTCTTATACCGGGTTTGGTATGTATTACAGTACGAAACTTACGTTGGTGTATAAATAATGTATTTGACCATAGGCATGGTATCGAAGATGTGATGAGGAACAACTTCAATGTTACTATGCCCCATACATCTTAGGAAATCAAACACCAAAACATAGCCATAGAACATAATGATCGAACCATGTCCTATCAAAGTACTCCCAAGAATTGGAACTCCCATAATTACACAAAGTAATAAATGCTCCAAAAATGTCGCATGACCGGCTGCACCAAAAATGGTAAAAAAAAGAAAGATCAAATAGCTAGAGGGTGATGTTTTATAAATAAATGAATTTTGTGGGGTCGGTTTCATTATTTTTTACCTGTAAATGGATTGTTCACTGTAGAACTGTGGTGTAACCAATGATATCGTTGGAAGAAATATTCGGAATGTAATAATCTATGAAGCCAATAATATAGAGGTTCTGAGAGGCCAATATGGAAAATTACACAAGAAATAATCCCACTGGTTTTCCATACAGGCAGATTGGTCACTGATGGATTGATCAATAAGATTATTGAGGCTACAGATGCTTCAAGTATGATGAAATTATCCCTGTTAGTCAACGAGAAAAAGATGCATGAGTTTCATCAAAACATTGTAAATTAAGATAATCATATAAACGGGTGTTTGAACGTACTTTTAATCATAATCATGTTACAAGATATATAGACATATAGTGATATCATTTTTTATGGTGTTGACTGTTGAGTGGTTTGAAAAATATATTTTGTAATTAATTAAAATTATAACTAAAAAAAAGATTTGTGTAATTAAAAATTACGTGATATATAAATATTGGTTTTATTGCGATTTTTTATGTCATTCGTTATCTAAATTAATAAAATAAACTAAAAAATTAATAAAATGGAAAACAATCGATTTCAACAAAAATCATGGACGTGACAAATAACTTTTTTGTTATTTCAATGGAACGAACTTCATTTTTACCTATAGCATAGTACAAAAACAGTACCGATATACAAGTAATTTTATAAACAGATTATCCAAAACTAATTATCCATAAATCAGTAGATATTGGGTCGTTATCGAAACATCATAATCACTTTCAAAAGTCAATTCAAACACCAGAATATAATCATATAATCATGATATTATAGGTCAATGATATATATTATTATTACCAATGCCATTCTTTGTCAATTTGATCAAAACCAATGGCTTTTTCAGATAACCGATGATTTCGATTAAGATAATGCGTGTTGTTATAGGAACTCCATAGCTGGTGCACAAGTCCTCGTAGTGAAGACAATATTAGAATATGCAAACACCAACTATACTCACTGTGCTTCTTTTCATAGATTCTTGAATAGATTAACTCAGCAAGAAGTGGCCCAAACAACAAATACTGTTCCAAACAAGAATTTAAAGCTATATTAAACACAAAAAAAATGCAAAATCCAACATCAAATCACATAAATATTTTCAAGAATCAAAAAAGGAAAAATCAGAAATTATATATACCTTGAAATTTGACAGATTCTGCCATGGCCAACCAAACAATATTGGAGCTCTCTTTTTCCCTGAAGAACAAACACTCTTCTCATCTGAACATGTTTCCGCTTCTACAAGCATAATTTCGTTTTGGGTTTCCATTTTCTTGAAGAAAATGAAGCAAAATACACTTTTCTCTTTTTCTCTTTTTGCTTTTTTTGTCCTTCTATAAGACTTGAAAAGCTTGTTGTTCTTCTTGGAGGACAGCTGAGGACTATATATATAGCCTGATTAGTATACGTATATGTGTACATATATACATATACATATACTGATATACATAAATATAACATTCACGTGATATGGATAGGTTAATAGGTAGGTACACGTGTGACTGTTTATGAAATGAATGAAATATGACGATAGAAGTTAAGTCATCAATCAAGTAATTAAGAATAATTGGAAGTAGGGTGCAATATAGACACCCCATGCATAATTCTAGTCAAAATCCAACTTTTTTATATATTTTTTTTTGGGTATTAATGTTATATTTGTTTCCGTGAAAAAAACTTATTAAAAAATAATCAATAATTATTTTTGGTTTTCTTTTTTAATTCTATTTTATTACTATTATTATTTAAATATTATGTATTTTAATAATATTAGTTTTTTTTTATTATTATCTTATTTTTAACATGTTCAATATAAATTAAATTGTATTTTTTTTCTTAAATCAAATTTTAGTACGTTCTTTTCTCAATAAAAATTATTATACTAGAAAAATATATATTTTATTTTTAGGCAAATGTTTTCTTTACGCCCACTTTCCCTCCACATTATCCATTATCACTTATTTACTTGTTTATTTTTTGTTAGTATTGATCTAATGATAGAAAATTATAACTTTTTAATATAAGTTGCAATATAAACTATAAATCTATACAAATGAATGGTAGTGATTTGCTAGATGAGATCATGCCAAATGAATGTAAGAGCATCCTCATGGGTGTAAGGGGTACTATCTTGCAGATGAGTATCAACTCACCATCATTTTATCATTTTTTTGGAAAAAAAAAAGTTAATTGGAAAGAAAAATTAATTTTTGGAAAAAGAAATTAATAGGAAATAAAGTTTTTTTTTATTAAAATATTGATACTATTAAATATTTGCAAGTCTTGCAAAGTACACATACCATTATTAAATATTTGCAAGTCTTGCAAAATACACATAGCATTTGACTTTTGTGATGTTGCATTCCATATTAGTTTTACAATAGCTCTTGTGGAAGGTCTATAAAGTTTTGTAGTTCTAAAAGAAACTAAATGGGTTTTAAGAGATTAAATGAAATGAGTTTTTTAAAATATAAATTTTTTAAAAAGAGTTGACAAATAATTTTTAAATAACAGTTTAAATATATACTATTTTTTTATAAAGAAATATGTGTTATTTAATATTTAATAATTAAAAGTAAAAAATATTAAATTATTAATGATGTTTGTTAATCATTAATTAATTATTGAAATTGTCTTTTTTTTTTTTTTTAATAATAAAGATGGTCAAAAGTAATAATTAGGTTGTTTTTTTATCAAAATGAGGCGGTGGTATTTAGTTGATCAAAATTGTAGGCCTTAATTTTTGTATTTTTGGAAGTTTCGTCATTAATCAACTTATTATGCTGGCCAATACGGTTACTGGTGTTAATGTTATACAGGTCATTTAGGAAAACTTTCCATTTCAAAGTCAAAACGAATCACATGCAAAAGTGACTAAACTAAGCCGAAAACAGAATTTCAGATTAGTTTAACTTAATTTTAAAATGAAAAACCATGTGTTATAATTTGTATCTATAAATTACAATATTGATTTTATACTAGAATCCACAAGAACACAGATGAATGGTTTAATTAGTGCCTTCTTTGGGTAAAGAACTTTGTCTTTGGAAAACAAATGAAAGCAACAAAAATGGGGGGATTTTTGTGTTTATTAGCTAAGATTATCACTAGCATGCAATGATTTTACAACCGTCAATTTTTGATCAAGTCAAAGTCAAATAAAGTCAACGGGTCAAACCGGTCAACTCATCTAACCCTTGTATATTAGGGTTTTCTTTATGCTTAAAGTTGTTCAACTCGCTATTTTAATAAGAAGTTATCACTTGGAAAGTTCGTATATTCGGAAATTCTAAACCCTAATCAGGGCCAGTTATGGATCTATTCGATAAAACCTTATTCTTTAACCCTCGGGGGCATATAACAATCATAATGAGAATTAACGGGATGTACCAACCTTGCGTTGCGAAGCCAAACACTTAAAAAGGTCACAAACAAAATCTCTCCCAAATCCCTCCAAGCATGTGAAATCTCTCCCAAATCTCTCTCTCTGAATGAGAAATCTCTCCAAGTATGTGAAATCTCTCCCAAATCCCTCCAAGCATGTGAAATATCTCCCAAATCTCCCCAAGTATGTGAAATCTCTCCCAAATCTCTCCAAGCATGTGAAATCTCTCCCAAATCTCTCTCTGAATGAGAAATCTCTCCCAAATCTCTCTATGAATAAGAAATCACTCCAAGCATGTGAAATCTCTCCCAAATCTCTCTCTGAATGAGAAATCTCTCCAAGCATGTGAAATCTCTCCTAAATCTCTCTCTGAATGAGAAATCTCCCCAAGCATGTGAAATCTCTCCCAAATCTCTCTTAACTTCTTATAATCACTCGGGGCATCCCGACCCTTAACTTGGTCAGAAATCACTCGAAAATGGAATTTTACACGAAAAATAGCTCTTAGGGGCCGAACCCTCCTAGGAGCCGAACCCCTCCTGAACCGAGCCTCCCCTGGAACCGAGAAGCAGCCAAAGTCGAACCTCGCAGAAGAAGCCAAAGCCGAACCTCACATGAGTCACCGAGACCGAGCCTCGCACTCTCGGTCCCTCCCCTCGCACCTTCGGTCCCCTTCTCTCCATTTCGGTTCTTTCCTTCCCTTCTCTCGGTTCTCACTCTCTTAGAGCCGAACCTCGCAGGTTCGGTCCAGATTTCCGGTTTTTTTACCCAAACTTCATTTTAAGCTCGTTTTTCGTGATTTTAACGCAGGATTTTCACCCAAACTCGTATTTTAACATAATAAACCATACATATTCATATTTTAATTATATTTTGGGGAAAATCATTGCCTAAGAATAAAATCGGGTAGGTAAGATTTATTGGTGGAGTGTTGACTTTACCTTAGTGTGTAGCACAAGCAACCTCCCCCATACCTCCATAGTACAACCCTCTATCACTATTTCCCCTACCTAGTCAACTATTTGTTCTTTAACACCCCTCCTCCAGTTGTAAAGGTTCACCAAAGGTTGAAAATCTCCTCTCTCCTCACATTTCTCTCATTTTCCACCAAAGAATAAACTTCATTCTCTCTCACTTTCTCTCTCTAAATTTCGAGATTCAAGGTTATTCTCCAAGATTTTCTTCTACTTTTGGTAAGTACTATCATCCTCCATATTATTATTTCACTCCTTTCTACTCAAATCATAGGTTTCTTACACAAACTTCATCATATTTGTGTTAGAACTTCGGATCTTCAAGCATCATCTAAGTGATCTTGAGTTGAGCACTTCTTTTCTTCATCATCCATCCACTAAAATCACAAAAGGTGAGTTGATACCCCTATATTTTCATGTTTTCTCAAGTTTTAGGGGGGGGGGGGGGGGGGGGAATACAAGTTAAAACACCAAGAACATAACTAACCCCATCCAACTGCTTTCATCAGAAAAGTTTAACTCCATTCACGGACTGTTTTGGTCAACTTAAACATTTTAGTTTTCAAAACTGTATTATATTCAAATAGTTAAGGTTTATACCTTTAAAATGAGTACTTTCACAAGTCTATACGATTTTTCTACAATTTATGGCGATTTTTACAAAACAACATATCACTGTAGCTACGAATTCGGACCAGTCTGTGGGTATGGACATTTTCAAACAAGTTAGAGACATCTAAAAATCATAATAAAATTTATGAACAAACTAGACACATTTTCAAATCTCTCAGAGTTTACGGATTCAATTTTTGACTTCGTATGATTTTTTCGTGATTTTTCCAAAAGAGTGCAGAAATGTTAAAAACAAGTTAACAGCTTACAACTTTCATCACACTTTGTAACATGTTGAGCAAAGTGTTAATCTTTGATGATTTTATATTTTACTTGTGTTTTCCATTGTGGTATAATTATATAATAGAAATTACCCACTGATTTGTAAGAATCCTTTGTCATTATAAATAATACAAGATAAGGCATGATAAACATAGTTATGTTTTTGCTATACATTCGACTCACATAAAATGGGGTTCATTTGCATTACAAATGTTTTGGATAAACTATAATAGGTATAGTTTATGTTTTATATACATTACAAACAGTACTATTAAACTACAATAGGTGTAGTTTATGTTTCAATTACATTTCAAACTCATTACCAAAGGTTTTCAGTCATATAAACGGGGTGCGAACACAAAGTACTGGGTTTATACAAAAAGGGGTTTTTAGTTCAGTTCATGTAAATCTGTTAATGAATAAATTTGTGAGACATTCGCTTCGCGTTACATTTAAAGTAATGAAATCAAAAGCCCTGTAAATTGTAACCAGAGTCTCTTGTAGGGAGAACGTCATAGTTGTGTATAGATCTATAGTGGGTCTGACAAACCCACACCCGAGTTGCATGCAACAGCTAGACCGGCAGGTCTAGGGTGACAAGTGTCATTTAACTAGCGATGCCTGAAGAACATTGTGACAACCCGATATTTCAACTCTTTGTAATGGCCTAATAGGTCAGGTATTGTAAACATTTTTGAGTTAATAAAATTAACTTTGATAATAAAATGTCCAAAAAGTTTCTATTTAAATTCTTCTATGTTTAAATCTCATTAAACCATGATCGTACGTAAAAAGAACGCCCAAATCCAACTTCGTATATTGAAGTTATGATTTTTCCAAGTTCAGCTTAGCAACAGACAGCTAAAAACTCGAACGGAGATCGAGCGACATTTGGCCGGGATGACCTAAACGAGAATCGAAGATCTCGACAATAGTATTTCAACGGTAAAAAGTCTGGCAAAAACCGACGTCAGATAAAGAAGTTATGAATTTTTAAAGAATTTCCTTAATCACGTCATTTTAATAAATAAATAATAAAAATAATTTCAGAATTTGCCAACGGAATCTAAACGAAAGTTGTAGATCGTAGTCTCACCTTCGCGGGATATAAAGAAACGTCGAAAACGGAGTTCGTATGAAGGAGATATGAATTTTTAAGTTTGATAAATAATTTATATATAATTTTTATTAAAATT